TTAAAGACCCTCAAAGCTACTTTGTTGTAGAATGCAGAATCCTATGAAATCAGAAATTTACACAATGCTATTTAAAAGGAAGGAGCTCTGGTAACATAGTACCTAAGGCACTTGACTGCTAACCAGAAGGTTGGTGGTTCAAACCCAACCACCACTCCTTGAAAGGGAAGGTTGGGCAATCTACTTCCGTAGTGATACTGCCTCGGAAACCCAAGGACGGGTCGCTATGAGTCGGCACCAACTTGACGGCACATAACAACAACAATAACAACGACATTTAAAAGGAAATATCTGTAGACTGCAAGTTGTTCACCCAAAATATTTTAAACCTTTTTATACTTTCAATTTAAAAGACTGAAATAAAAGAAAGAAAAATCTCTCCTGCAATAGGGATGGTAGATTTGTACAAAGTAACATTTTTGGTGCTGGAGGGGAGCTTATTTGTTCCTAATGGAAGCAGTCACAAAAAGGCAGAGTTCAAAGAAAACCAAATACTAAAATAAAAAAGTAGTTTATTGAAGCTGCATTAATAACAAACCACAAAAGTTCCCTACTGAGAGAGCTGTCATTCTTTGTTAATCATGGATACTTCTATTTGGTCTGATTTTCATCATAAGAAGCAGTTACCAAATAAAATTAACACATCTTGAAAAATGTTGATCCCCGTTTATGAATCATTCTTCTTTTGGAGTCCCTGGATGTGACAGTGAATGTGCTTACCTGCTAAACAAAAGGTTGGAGATTTGAATCTATCCACAGGTGCCTCTGAAGCAAGGCCTGGTGATCTACTTCTGAAAAACCAGCCACTAAAAGCCTTATGGAGCACACAGTTCTACTCTAATATACACGAGGTCACCAAGAGGCAACTTGTTTTGTTCTGTTTTCTTGTAAACTTACCGTGTGGTTGCTGTAAATCTTAGTGCAGATAGTCTATGCTGCTTATAAAGTGATCAAAGAAATATTTAGTCCTAAGGGGGAGACACTTAATAGCAAAATATCATGTGGACACGTCAGAAGAAAACTTTAAATATTATGTTCTATCACAAATTATTAAGGAATTCATTTTAAAGTCATTTTTAAGATTTTTGCCAAATGAAATTTTTTGAAAATGCATTTTGATGGCTTCCTAGAGTATGCACTTATTTATAGTATATGTATAAAAATATTTTGAAGTGGGCAAAAGTATCTTAGGACCAATCTTATTTATTTTTCCTACTCACAAGACTTTTATTTCTCATGATTTGAGTAAAATAGAGGATGGTAGTGATTAATAGCTATACAGTTATTTCGTTGCTAGGCTACATGTGTGCCCATTTAAACTGCTTTCTGACAAAGCACTGTTCCCAGAATGCTATGAGAGAATAGACTTTTCTTTGCTGGAGGAAAGGAAAAGGAGAATTTCCATCCTCACCATAGCAGGTTAGAGAGGGCATGAAAGGTGAAGGATATATACACACTGGGCAAGCCTCAGAAAACAGCTCCACGTCTTACACAGGGGTAATGAGAGGTGAGGAACATGGTTGTGTCCCGAATGTATTACAAGATCATCAGTTCAAGCAACAGATAGGCCTTACCCCTGTCTTCTTCACTGTTCCCTTTGTTTCATTGCTTGTTTCCTCACCTCCTCATAGATTTACAAAATGCATGAAGGATATACTTTGGCCTTTTGTTCCTGGGGTTCATACATGCACACATAGATACACACACAGTCATAGATGTGAAGAAGTCCATTCTCAAAATGTGTTTGCTTTGTGTGGTCCTACTAATCTGGCCATTACAGGATTCCAAAAACAATGGCAGACATGGTTTCTGAATGACACACTCCCCCTTCCCACTCCTTCATTCAAAAGTGCATACACATCACATCACTTCCACATGTTATCAGCCCTCTTGTTCCAGCACTCCATACAATAAGGCTCTGCAGCCCTTTTTCATCAGGTTCCCTGAGATTCTTTCAGAAGATAAGGTGTCCTATGCTCTAACACTTCTGTCCTCATAGGTAAGCTCCCCAACATATTCTTACCCATTATGCTTTGTTACCCAAGACCCCAGGACCCAACATCCACCAAAGGTTCAGTTGCACTGATTTGGAGCTCACAATGTGTCTGGTGTGCAGCAACCATGGGTGTGATAAGCCTCCTCAAAACAACTGAGACTTGATAGTTGCTCCTAATGAAGCAAATACTTGACTCAATTACTGGAGATATGGCTACTTCCATGTAAGATACAATTTTTAAAAATATTTGTGTAAATTTAAAGATACTTTTAAAAACTGTAGAAGTAAATATGACAATGACATTCATTCCTGCTGCTGCTGTTGTTGTTAAGTGCCGTCGAGTCATTTCTGACTCATAGCAACCCCAAGCACAGCAGAACGAAACACTGCCCGATCCCGCGCCAGCCCCACAATCTCTGCTATACTTGAGTCCATCATCGCAGGCACCGTGTCAATCCATCTTGTTGAAGGCCTCCCCCTCTTTCGTCGACCCTCCACCCTACCAAGCATGACATCCTTCTCCAGGGA